AGAGAAAGATAAAAAATCAATTAATACCGTGTAGAATAGTGTAAGTTATCATAAAATAACAGTGAAGTATACTGTAATAACATTTTTGGCGCACACGTTATCAGTGATAGTCATTTCAACACAAATATAAATAGACTTAGTCTTATACATACATTTGTATATATCTATATACAGAAATCAATGAGTAGTACAATGTTTTAAATGAATGAGCGTAAATGAAATATTTTACTGATACTTACCATGGCCATTGGACTTCTACATCTTTACTTGATGAGTTTTCGTTAGTTTTGTAAGTCGACTGCTTAATCCTTTGAATCCATCTATGGATTTTGTACTTATGATTGTTAGTCCAGTGATGTTGAGACCTCGTTTCATTATGGTTTATAATTTTTGTTTAGTATAGTGAATAGATTTGCCGTTTATCATACCTTCAATGATTCTAGAATCCAGGCTTGTCGTTCCGTAAGTACCCTTCCAGTTCATCTGAAAGCAAATGTTATCTGAGAACATTAGTCAGCACATGCACCGAACGCTTTCGCCGACACTGTCACCCTTTACTTTTGACAAGTAGTGCACCTGAAATAATAATTTATAGAGAAAGTAAAAATCATTTCCTTTTAGCAAGTATCGTCTTCGAACTTCAGCAACAAATCGTTTGGATCCCCGAGATTTTGGCAGGGATCCTGCAGTTAAGTATTATCGTGTCACCTTAATTTTGAAGCAACTCGACCGTTTTTCGGTTTAAACGTAAAATCTCCTTTACGTTCTCCGCCATAGCGACGACGCTAACGGTTAGTTCCTCGATAGCATCCGCGTTTGGGAGAATACGTACATCGAAATTGCAATTTAATTGTCATCTGCTCCTGTCCTTTCTACGTCCCATCCTTGAAACTAGCATGTTGACAAGGAGAATGATGTTGCCTGGGTGATATTGCAGTCAAGCTGTAGACGTATTTACGTTACTGATATTCAACGGTTACCTTTCCCTACTCCCGTGTGATAACTGACTGCTTCATCTGTAAAGTGAAAAGTTGGATGGAAGTGTTACTTTCTCACGTGGCAATGTTATCTTTTTCAAGAACATTACTTGTTGATCTGCAAATAGATCAGCACTTGCATGTTCTTACGCTTTTGGTTCCTCTTCAGTGATCTCCACCAATTTCGAGCACAAGGGCACCTGAATGCGGAAAACAGGGAACACCATTAGGTTTCAGCTGATTTCCGAAATAGAGTCTTTATCAGGGGTTCGGAACTCTGACGTGTCATCCAAAGGGGCAGTGGGGAATTTCTACACTTGATGATCCAAGTGCATTCTCCTCCCAACTGGAATCTGACAGCGCCCTTGGTTTCCTTATACGTTGGTTGATATTCCAACACAAACTTACAGTCTGCGATTTCCATGTCTCCACGGGAATTGTGGCGTCGGCGGACAACAACTCTGTTGTCACATAAAAATTTTGCCAGCTCACCGGCCACTTTGGAGTCATATGAAAACGTCAAATGAAATGTAATTTGCTTACCCACGACTCTATGTACCTTCACCTTGTGAATATATTAGGCGCCGTAAACTCGGGCTCGGCTTCGGTTGTTAGTATGAAGGGGTCGCACAATTATTATCAACCTCTCGGAGAAGGGAGTGATCGATAACAACAAGAAAAATCTCAGTCCGAGGTATACTCTCGATAAATCTCCAAAAGGTTTGAGCGGAATTTCCAAAGAAACGGTATATATCCGAATTTAAAAAAATCGGAAGGAGTCCTGACAGTAGTTATCTAGACATATTCAGTCGCGACTGGGATCTGGCGGTAACCTCTTACCAGATCAGCCTTGGAATAGATAGTCGGGTCACGAAGTGATGCCGTGATCGTGTACATGAGAATCTAAACGAGTTACTGCATTAAGTGACCGATAACTTGCAAATAGTCACCAGTTCATCCTGTGTTTTATAGGAACTATGCGTAGGTGAGAGGCGTACACTACCTTCAAAAGGCCGAATTTCAAACTAACGCTTAGCAAAGGGTTATTTTTCCGGCTCCATTTAGTAAGATCGTGTTGTGTAGGGACTGTTGCTGAGACTGCTATCGCACCACCAACTTCTGAGCCGAAAAAGAGAACACAATCAAAATGGCACAGGACAGTATATTAGAAAAAAAAATGTCTTCTTTTGCTTGTCGTTTTAGCGTTGACATTCGTTCTTTTTATTGCGTTCGATACGTTTCAAACGTTCGGCATAAATTGACCAATCAGAGTCGTCGGACCGCCCGGCTGACTACGCTGTCTGACCAATCAGGAAAGTTGGGCCGTCCGGCTGAATACAGCGATCGATCATTTGCGGGCGGGAGACTCGCCCGGCTGTGCCTTTTTCTTCTTGGCTATTATCGCCAAACAAATAAAGTTTTCGACCGGATTTTTTTTGGAATTGAACCTTCCTGACAGATCGTACAGCAACTGACCGACTCTGAGCGACTGCATTAATCAAATGTATGGAATGAACTTATGCCAAATGTGCTGCCTGTTCGAGTCTATAATTCAATCTATAAGGGAACTTGAATGAACGTTAATAACTGCTTTTTGGAACACTGACATTTGGATATACACTGTAGTCGAGAAAGTGAAGGCTGAAACACATACCGGCGCTTAATGCCTTATTAAACCGTCGCAATTTCATAGCAACGAGGAAGGTATCATGCCCACCGACGGCCGCGGCAGTTTTGTCTACAATGAAGGGAGCTTGTTCAGCGTTGACTATTCTAGAATTACCCTGATCTTCTGTTGCGTCTGATGTAGCAACGATCTTAGCAATGCCAAAATTGGCGTTATCTGTAAAGCAAGCATATGTAGTTGAAGCGGTTGCCAACTTGGAGCCGTATTATCAATGTAGTAACTAATCAGCTGTTTGCATAAGTTTTTCCGTAGTGAGGCAGTGCAGACCCGAACGATTGCCACCCTTGTGGAATCGTAACTGTTCTAGGCCTACTTTTCGTTAGGACATCCCAGAGATAAAAAATCAGTAGAAAGGATAAGCCCCATACTTTGCATAAATTACTTGTCTTTTACTTTGTTTCTCGTGTAGCACATGACGCAAAACCTCGGGGGATTAAAGCGATTGAACTTATGATTTTACAGTAATATGATCAACTAAAAATTTGATGTTACAAATGTAATAAGACTCGCCGAGGTGAGTGTGTAGGTTCATTGATTCGACAATGAGTTTGACGGCTGCAGTTGTAACAGATCTCTTTGAGCATAAGACCCATTAAGGCCATTGACCGAAAAGTCGTAGAGGTTAGAGGACGTCTATTGGAGTATCTTGGTGTTGGATATTACCACTAGAGGTGACCATCAAAATGATCCAACCAAATAAAGCAGCAGTAAAGCAAAACTCGCGTCACACGTTTAGCTTGGATTGAGTGGGCTCACTAGGAGGAAAATCGTGCTCAGCGGAATCAAAGCAGAGTTGAAGATGCAACAAATAGTTTCACATAGTGTCACAGCTGACTGAAAAAACATTTTTGAATAAAAATATCACCGTAAGAAATAAAAGCTATCGTTTCCTCAAGACACGATCAAATAGAGCACAATTATCAATGGGTAACCTTAACTGCATACAGCTAAATAGAGTACCAGCAACGGTCTGTAGATGTATAAATGTGTGACAGGTTTCTACGTTAATACCAGCTGTATTCNCGTGTTATCTTCGAACGATATACTATGAGAAAGAAGATGTATATCGTTCGGAGATGCCTACCCTGTTCTGCTGCACACATGAAGCGCCGTATTTCCTAATGCATACGGCGGAATTACTACTCGACAGATCCGTCGGTGTCTTCAGTCAGACTGGAGTCTTCCTAAGGACTTTCTTTACAATGATCTTTGCAT